AGCCTTGAGGTTGGTTTCTGGCTGAGCAGCGTTCCCCCTGTGGGAGTGCACCGACCACCAGGGGTCAGCTCCTGCATTGAACATCTGCCCCTCGTGGTCAGTGTGCATCATAGCAACCAGTCATTCTGCTGTTTGGTCGATTTGCATATTAACTTTTTATTATACAGGAGCAAAGGCCTAGTGCACAAACTTGTGCACCAGTGGGGTCCAGCCTTCCATCCCTATCATGGCCAATCGGGCCAGGCAGGAGGAGGGGACAAGGGAGGTTGACCAGTTGGCCCTGCCCCCTGGTTGAACTCCCAGGCAAACATCCTGTCCAGGGGACAATTTGCATGTTAGCCTTTTATTTTATAGGATAAGGAACTAGTGACTCAGAGAGGTAATGCCATAGTCCCAGAGTATAGATTATTATCCTCAAAAGGTAGAAAGATAATAATCCAATTTGAGCTTTGAATTTCTGGTGATAAGTACCGGGGATAATAAGCTTCAAATGAATAGAGTCATGTAAACTTTCAAAAGCACAAATCGCAAGGCAAAAGGAAAGGTTAATTTGATTTTACCAAATGAAGGATTTTTCTTCAATTAAAGACACTATAGGCAAAGTTAATGGACATAACATAATCAAAAATATTTTCAGAGTGTAACCCGTTAACTGCCACAATAATTTGAATTTAATTAAAAAAGCTCCATCGCTTGCCTCTATAGATGCTTATGGCATACAAATGGTTAAAATTGATCACAGACCAATACCTAGAACTTCTGGAAATCAAGAAAAACAGAGCAAACCCAATTAAAAAAAAAAAAAAGCAAATACTGTGAATATGCAATTAGGAAAGAGAAAGCACCCCCGCCCCCCGCAATCAACAAATATATCAAACTCACTATTTATTAGAAACATACAAGCTCAAGCAGCCATGTCACTTGACACCTACTGGAAAGCAGGACAATGCTGCAAGGAATGGGTAAGGACAGGGCTGCACATCTTCCTGGGGAAGAGGGTGAGGGGAGGGGGCTCTGTCACTCAGGAAGCAATGTGGCAGGCTTTGGTCAAAGCCAATATATACGTGCCTGTGGTCAGCAATCTTGCCCAAAGAAATGCTCCCAGCGGGACTTGTAGGAGGCTATTGGGAGCAGCATGCTTGTGGAATTGCAGCATCATTTGCGTGATCTCTGTGGACCCATCACTGGGGGTGGGGTGGGGGTGAGGAGGATGGTAAAGTCTATGGAGATCTCTGTGGAGCATGATGTGCAGTATATGTATGTGCAGAGTAGACATAGAATGACAGTGACAGATCACACAGCCAGTTTAGGACAAAAGTGAGGACCAGAATGAGCTGAGGAACATAATTGAAAAACAAGCACCTCAAGTAATCAAGGTTCTGCAAGTACACACGGGAACAAAACATAAACACCTCACACGTTAGAGTGGTTGCCTACGCGTGACGTGGGTGCCTGGCTAGTGGTCCCCTGGGCGAGTTACAGACAGGGGAGATGGTCGCCACCCCAGCTGCTGGCTCAGGCTCCTTGGAGCAATTCGTTGAGGCTAAGGCCGCAGTCTTTGGGGCAGAAAGTGAGCTCAGGGGCCAGGCCTCGGAAGCAGGGGCAGCTGGAGAGGAGGCTGCCCTTCCCTAAGAAGCTGTCTTCCTCACAGCCCGCCCACCTCCATGGTGAGACAGATTCTCCCTTGCAGAGATGACCTCACTTGCAGAGATGAATTCGTATAGCTTTCTGCTTGGGGGTGGGGGAATTTTCATAAGTTTGCCCAACGAGTAAACATTAAGGATAGTTTAGACAATGAGACTTAGAAAAGATGGTGGAACCGAAACCGGTTTGGCTCAATGGATAGAGCCTCGGCTTGGGGACTGAAAGGTCCCGGGTTCGATTCCTGTCACGGGCATGTACCTTGGTTGCAGGCATATTCCCAGTAGGGGGTGTGCAAGAGGCAGCTGGTCGATGACTCTCTCTCATCGATGTTTCTAACTATCTCCCTTCCTCTCTGTACAAAATCCAAGTATATTAAAAAAAAAAAAAAAAGAAAAGAAAAGAAAAGATGGTGGAAGGGATGGAGGAGGGAGGTAGACTGTGCCAGGGAGGTCAGAATCAGATAAAGGGATGGTAACAAAACCCAAGCCTTCTCTCTCTCTCTCTCTCTCTCTCTCTCTCTCTCTCTCTCTCTCTCTCTCTCTCTCTCTCTCTCCCATGGAATGGACCTCTATGGAGCACTGGGGAAGTTCATGTCACTTATCACATGCTTTGTTCACAAAAATGCCATGTGCAGGGTGGGGGTTAGCCCTCCTGCTTTACAGTTAGGCAACATGAGGTCTGAGAAAGTAACCTGGCCCCGCTCACACAGGGAGTGAGCTCATCCACGTTGTCTTCCTGCTGCGGGGGGGCACCAGGCCCCTGCTCTGCCATCCTCCCTCTAGAGCTATCTGCCAGCAGCAGTCTCACCCTGGGACCTGCAGGGCTCTCAGAACTGCTCCTGCAGCTCTCACCGGGCTGCAGCAGGTCCAGGAAGCCTATGCCTTCTCAGAGACTCTGGAAGGAACTCCTGGGGTTTAGCTGGGTTCCAGCAGCTTCCTCTTTGCCACCACACCCCTGAGTCTGTATTTGTGGCTCCTCGAACCAGGTCTGGCTTTTAGAGAACTGGAGATTGCCCCTCCACAGCTGTTTTCCACTCTGATCGGAACCTCCAGCTTCCTGAGATTCAAGAAAAGTGTGGCGGGCAGGGAAACCTTTACAGCGGAATATCCATAAATTCCCTGAGCAGTACAAACAGAAGGACAGTGAAAAATCTCTGTAACACAAGAACATGGCGGTGTTTGGCCACATGCTAAAGCATTACAAGAACTAGGATTTGATGCAGGTCAAACAATGACGCTCGTCAAACCCCAGGACTGCACAAACTCCTGATGAGATGCTATCAGGAAGGTGGCTTTCAGTCAGCCCCTACCCTACCCCTCCCTCTCCCCACCCCTCCCCTCCACCCCCTGCCAACAATGTCAGTAGCCTCAAGCCCCAGCCTAGTCACTTTGAGCAAAACTTAAAAATAAAATAATCCCATCCAACGTTCTAGAAAGCATTCAAAGCATTCCTGGTGGGGATGGGTTGGAACTTGCAGACTGCCCCAGCCTCACCCAGAGTCCTGTCATAAACACTTGATAAGATGGTTAACACCAGGAGCTCAGTCTGACTTGAAGAGGAAAACAGTGTTATAAGAGAAAACTAGGAATTCTTGCCCCCACCCCCAAAGGAGTTTACACAACTGTGGGGAAAAGGGTGTCACAGAAAGAAAAGTTTACAAAGTTGTGGTTTATATGTGAAATCAAAACAAACTCATGTAAGGTTTATTCTACCCTTCTGGAGGGGAAGTGGAGAAGTAGGCTAATAACAACCCCATTCGATAAATATTTATCCGGCCACTACTGTGTCCTAAGCATCAGCAGGTTGGGTTGTGGAGAAGCCAATGCCGAGACCACACAGAGTTAGTTCTTGGGGCCCACCATTCTTCGGCTAAGCACCCCATAAACTCTGGGGCCTGGGGATCCCTTTGAATTGCTGCTGCTTTGAGAGGTTCTGATAACCTTAAACCCAGTGATCAGAATGGAGAGGAACTGGCCACCCTTCTCTCCTCTCTCTAAAACGAGCTTTCTTGTGGGAGAAAGCAAAACAAAACGAAACAATTGTGCTCTCTTATCATCTTTTCCTGTCCTCCTTTTTCCAAGTTTCCAGGAAAAATACAGCACTGTGCTTTGCCGACCTCTGTTCTCTTCTCATACAAAGTATCTTGTGAGGCCTCTGTTCTCCAGACTTGTCCACACTTCTCCTTCCCTTCCCCAGCCAGGACTTCACAGATCGCCCAACCCTCCTTCTGTGACCCTCCCTCTGTTCTTTTCGGCAGCTCCTACATTCTGGTTCCCAGTTTCTCCACACACTTCCTTCCCCAAGGATTTTACACAGGGTTAAAATTCGGGGGAGGGATCTGCTTAAACAGGCAAACTGGTTATACTTATTTATTGCTATGTAACCCTCTCTGCTCCTTCTCCAAAATCCAGTCCAACAAATAAGACAGCGTCTTGAACATAGTACTTGGGGTTTGGACTTGGACTTAAACTCTTGTCCTAGAAGCCCCTCCTCTCTCAAGCTGGATGCTTCCTCCATCTCTGCTGCCAAACTGATTTTACTGAAGTCCTTTGGAACCCCAGTAGTCTTCAGCATTTTGGTCCTCTGTGGGAGTTTCTTTCTTTTCTTAGATTTACACAGCAGTAAAGAAGAAGAAGAGCTAACATGTATGGAAGCCTATGTACTATGTGCCAGGCAATCATGAGAGGTACATAGAGTTCTTTTTTTTCCCCTATAAAATTTTTTTTAAATTAAATTATTATCTGTGTACATAGGGTTCTTATCCTCACTTCCTAGCGGCCAGAACTGAGGCACGGATAGAGGCAATAGCTTGCACACTTGAGGTAGCTGAGGCGAGAACCTAACCCGTAATCAAGGTCAAGTTGGGGGTCAAAGGGCTCTAGAATCCACACATAACAGGTCTCCTCTGTTGGAGTGGGTGCCCTGGATAATGTACTCAACGTCTTTGACCTCCAGTTTTCCTCCCAGTAAAACAGAGATAAAGCGTTCTATGATAGCGGAGCAGCCAATGAGCAGGATGTGACAGGCCTACTTGGGTCCCTGGCCCTGGAGAGTCGCCCAACTCCGGACGCACCCCAAGCTTATCCCTCTGAGAGGCAGGGCTGGTTCCTGCTCCCCTAAATAACCCAAAACCCAAGGTGGGATCCCCCACTTCAATAGGTTTAGACGCATCATACAGAACAACACTGTGCATCTGTATCCACTTGGCTCGCTGGCCTTTCTCCCCGCCTCGCTCCCAGGTGCTGGCGGCCCCCTCACCTCCCCCCCCCCCCCCACCCCGGGGGCCAGGCCATGGGCTCCTCCTGCACCCCGGCTTCCCTCTCGGTTCGGGGTTCGGACTCCTCTCCTCCGCTTACCATGGCGTCGTAGCCCAGGGCGTTCATGAAGTGTGCCACCTCCGCCCCCTTGTACACGGTGAACCAGATGGTGCCCTGGTACTGGTCGCCGGCGTCGAGCAGCAGCACGTTGGGGTCGGCGCTGCGGATGCGCTGCACCTGGGTGTACAGCCGCGCCACGCCGCCCACACAGCGGCTGACGTCCATGCACTTGCTGGAGTCCTCGCTGGTCTGCTCCAGCCGGCTGTGCACGTCGTTGGTGTGCAGGATGGTGAGCGTCCAGGCACTGGCCGCCGGCCACAGCAGCGCGCCCAGCGCCAGGAGCCGCGGTGCCAGCGCCCGCGCGGCCCGGGGACACATGGCTGCGGCGCGGGGAGCGGGCGCGGGCGAGCCGGCGGGCGGGCGGACGGAGAGGAGAGAACCGGAGCGGAAAGGAGCGGAGAAGAGAGGATCGGAGTGGAGAGGAGCGGCGGGAGTGCGGGCGAGCGCCGCAGTGAGGCTCTTTGGAGAGCGGGGCGGGACGGGGCGGGCCCTCTGGCCGCCGGGAGCCCAGCCCCGCGGCCAGGCGCACGCCCGCTCGGTCACCCGATCCGACCCAGCTCCTGGGCGCCCGGGCGGCGCTAGTGGCTGGCACCCGCTCCGCCAGGAACAGGGGGAGGCTGTTCCGGGCGAGGAATAGCTAGTGCCGGCCTCGATCCCGGGATCCCTGCCCGGACCCAGAGCCCGGGCGCCGGCGATCCCGCTGCCGGGGGAGCGGGAGCGTCCGCCCCGCGGCTGCGTCCTCGCCGGTGGCCCTGCGAGCTGGTCCCTGGAAGAAGGGAAAGAGGGGGAAGAAAGGAGGTGCAAAGAAAGGAGGTGCACTTGGGGAGTGAGGTGGGGGGAAGTGAAGAGGGGGCGAGCTGCAGCGGAGAGAAGCGCTTTGCTCGGGCTGTGGGAACAACAAGCGCATTTTGAGACACCGGCACTCCCTCTCTCCAGTCACCCTGGGAACTCAGAGCCTACTTTGTCCAGGACGCGGAATCTCAGAAGCTGAGAAACCATTCGAATCCAGCCCGGGGTTATGTGTGACTAAAACCCTAGTGATACGGCAGCAGCGGTGCGGTGCAGTAGATTGGCAGCTAAAACTCATCCTGAGCAGAGCAAACATGAGTAGCAACGAGGGGAGCGGTGCCGCCTGGTGTTGCTTTTGTAGGCATTCTTCCTCTGTCTGTCCTACTTGTGAGGGTTGAATGTGTTAAGGATGGCGAACGCGCGCGCGTTTTAAGCCAAAGCTTTCGGCAAGGAAAGTACTAGGAATGTGTACAATAAAGTAATCATCATTATACTATTAGAATTAAAAAGGGCAGTATTCGCCGAGGCCGGTTTGGCTTAGTGGATGGAGCATTGGCCAGTGGACTGAAGGGTCCTGGGTCAGGTTCCGGGCAAGGGCATGTACCTTGGTCGAGGGCACATCCCCAGTGGGAGGTGTGCGGGAGGCAGCTGATGATGATTCTCCTCGATGTTTCTAGCTCTCTGTCCCTCTCTCTTCCTCTCTGTGAAAAATCAATAAAATATATTTTTTAAAAATGGCAGTATTCCCCTCTGTTGAGCAGATTGATTTCTTTGTGCAATCAGCAATCTAGCTGCTTGGGTTTCGGGATTGGGTTGGGTGGGTGAAAAAGGTGAAGGGGATTAAGAAGTGCAAACTGCCAGTTATAAAATTAGTGAGGGGATGTTGAGCACTGCATAGGAAATATAGTCAATAATACTGTAGTAACTCCGTAGAGTGTCAGATGTGTGTCGTGGTGATCACTTCACAAGGTATATAAGTGACTGTCACTATGTTGAACATTAATATAATATTGAATACCAACTATAATTAAAAATATAATATAGCTACTGTGGGAAGGGAAGAAGGGAATTAGTTTGGAGTCCCTGCTAGGTGTCCCATCATTTACAGAACAGCAGATGTAGTCCTTACATGTGTCCAAAGGCACCCAGAATTTTTAAAAAAGCATTTTAGGATGAAATATACATAAGATTTACTATTTTAATCAGTTTTAAGTGGACAACTTAGTGGTGTTAAGTTTATTCACATTGTTTTACAACCATCACCACCATCCATCTCCAGAACTTTTCCATCTTCCCAGCCTGAAACTCTGTAGCCATTAAACAATAACAATAAACAATAAATAACAATAAATCAGACCTTGGCAACCACCACAGTATTCTGTCTCTATGAATTTAAGCACTTTAGGTTTCTCATACAATATTTGTCCCTTGCGACTGACTTCCTTCACTTTGCATAATGTCCTCAAGATTCATCCACATTGTAGCATGTCAGAAGTTCCTACTTTTTATTTAATTCAAATAGCAATTTTTTGAAATTTTTATTTTTGGATCGATATATTGATAGAAGGGAGTTAGTGTGGGAAAGGAGAGATAGAGATAGATAGATAGAAAGATAGATAGATAGATAGATAGATATAGAGAGAAAGATGGATTTGTTGTTCTACTTATTTATGTATTCATTGGTTGATTCTTGTATGTGCCTGTACCCTGACTGGGGTTGAACCTGAAATCTTGGCCAGAGCAGACTTTCCTTTCTTTTCCTTTGTATGTATATATCATATCTTATTTGTTCATCGATGGGCATTGGCTATTGTAAATAATGCTACTTGAACGTGGTGTACAACTGTCTTTTTAATTTGTTACAAAAGCAAAAGAAGGAGCCTCGGAGCTTAGGGAGAGGAAGCAAAGGTCATACACCCTGGTGGGATGAAGGGGAGGGAAGGCCAGGGGTGTTCCCAAAAGGAGAGTGCGCCCAAACTTTTTTATATTTTGATGAAGTGCAATTTATCTATTTTCATCTCATTGCCTATGGTTTAGTGTCATATCTGGTAAATCATTGCCAAATCTGATGTCATGCTTTTTTTAAAAACACGCTTATTTAGGTGAACTGAATTAAAAATCTGCTTTGAGGTGAAAACAGGAGAAATCTATTTGCCCGTAGGCAACCTGCCACACTTCACACTTGGGTTACCCAGTTCATAGTGTATTTTTGTTTTACTGATGAGAACACTTAACGTGATAGTTAACCTGGCTAAGTAATTTATCCAAGAGCATTCAACTCTTGGTAAGTGGAAGGCAGATTTTGAATACAACTGAGTTGCAACACTCTGTTAAATTATTAAGTCCTCATGAAAGTGTAAAGGGGTAGAAGTTATTAGTCCCCTTTTATTGTAATAAAACTGAGGTTCCAGGTGTTACATTAATTGTCCAAGATTTCACAGGTGAACAGGTTCCCCCTCTTTTATACATGTAACCATATTCCTTTCTTTCTTCATTTTTCTTAATTGACGAGAGAGAGAGAGAGAGAGAGAGAGAGAGAGAGAGAGAGAGAGAGAGACATTGGTTACCTCTCACATGACCAAACTGGTAATCGAACCTGTAACCTGGGTATGTGCCCTGACTGGGAATTGAACCCACGACCTTTTGGTGTAGGAGACGATGCTCCAACCAATTGAGCCACACTGGTCAGAGCACATGTAATATTTCACACAAGTTCTCTGCTCATTCACAATGTTTACACCTTGCTGCCCTTCCTCTTGCCATTTTAACATATTTGACAGGAGCGGTTCTTGGTCTGGGGATTTCCGAGGAGACTCAAGAAGCTTGGCATTCTCTCTCACAACTTTTGCCACAGTTTTCTTGTGACCACAGCAGAAAAATCAGTGTATATCTGCCCCTTTCATAAACCAGTCCTAACAGAGAGGGTTGGGTCTGAGTTAGCAGGGACACATAGAATATATGGAATGTGTAGAGACAGGTCCTCTTACCCACCATCCACTCTGCTGCCTCAGCTCAGACCCACCTGCTCTGCCCCTGGGGCAGACAGAAGTTCAGTCTGCAGCCTGGGTCACAGCCACTCAACCACCCAGCAGCAGTAGCAGCAGCATGTCCCCTCCTACGCAAATCAGGCCTTGCCCCCTTCACACAGTGGAGGCCCACCCTCCTCCCAGCCTCATCAGGGACATTTGGGTGTCCCTCCTTCCAGGTGAGATGGTGATGCTTCTCACAGGTAGGAGGATTTATGTCACTTCTAAGCCCCTTTCTGCCATCACACGATGGAGCCATGTTGCTGGGTTCTAAGTCCAAGAATTCAAATATATCATTCTATTGGATCCCACCAACCACCAGCAAGAAAAAGAAAGATGCACAGAAAACTAGGTAAGTCCTTATTCCAGTTTCTAGTGGAGGGTCAACATGAGAGCTACTGTGATTCTCAAAGGGGAGACTCCAGAGCCTTGTTCTCTGGTTCGCAGGGAGCACTCAAGCTCTGCTCTTGCTCAGCAGTTTCCATTTACCATGAGCCCTAGATATTAATATCCTAGCTGTTCAGAAAAACTTCCAAGGTGCTTACTTTCACACAAAAATCCTAACATGGTGAGTTAAAAGTTAAATTTTGTTCCAAATTCTTGAACATACATTGGTGTATGTTTCCTAAGTATGCAGGCCCTCTGCTTTAGAATTAGGGAGAATTGCTGAAACTGGTTTGGCTCAGTGGATAGAGCGTCGGTCTGCAGACTGTGCAGACTGAAGGCTCCCGGGTTCGATTCCGGCCAAGGGCATGTACATTGGTTGCGGGCACATCCCCAGCAGGGGGTGTGCAGGAGGCAGCTGGCCGATGTTTCTCTCTCATCGACGTTTCTAGCTCTCTATCCCTCTTCCTTCCTCTCTGTGGAAAATTAATAAAATATATTAAAAGAAAATTAGGGAGAATTGTTCACGTCATTGAATAACAAATAAAATCATTTAGTGCTTTGTCTGTAGTATGTACACAGTTCATATTTATTAAGCAAATAATCAATGTTCGTTTATTAAGCAAATATTTGAACTGTTCTAGAACTTACCAGGTGACCTAATAATATTCAGGAATACAGGAAAACCCCATTTATTTTCAGATGTTTCTCATGTACTAATAGAGGACTCAGGGGAGGCTGTTTCTCTCAAATCCTGCGTGAGCCAATATGGAGGAAGCTCTCCTTTTATACCCCTTTGGTTTCTTTGTCCCCCAAATATGGTACGGGCCTTCCGGACCTTTAAAGGGCTTTGCAAAAAGCCCTATGTGTTGGGGTGGGGGTCGTGAGACCATATCTAAAGGCCTGGCCTGACGCCAATGTTGATATGGCTTCTCTAAAATGGAGTTGTACTTAGGTAAACAAGCCTTGCAAGACCAGATGATTAAAGGGGCAGTGACTAGATTATAGGCTAACAAGAATGTGCATTAGGTTCCTGGCACAGATTCAGATTGCTAGCCCCCCCACAAAAAAATGTCTCATTTTCCTCAAAAGAACACTTACTCTCTGGGGGACATTCAG